TAATAATAATAATAATAATAATAATAATAATAATAATAATAATAATAATAATAATAATAATAATAATAATAATAATAATAATAATAATAATAATAATAATAATAATAATAATAATAATAATAATAATAATAATAATAATAATAATAATAATAATAATAATAATAAATAATAATAATAATAATAATAATAATAATAATAATAATAATAATAATAATAATAATAATAATTGCAACATGAACACTAGATTATTTCAAATAAATAGTTTACTCCCAATAAAAATATAGCAATAGCTCTAATTTATATGCAAAAACAAAAAAAAACTAAATATGTTACATTTTTAGAATGTGAAAAGTAGATACTTTCTGAATATTTGATCATAAATAACAAAATTGCATTTATCTGAAAAGTCATTTTAATTTCCGCGCTCTATCTGGAAGTTGCAATACAAAAGTGAAATATGCTTAGATAGACCAGGGTCGATAATTTTGTCCTATGGAAAAAAATTAAATGACAAAGTTGTAGGTAATAAAGAGACCTACAACTTTTGTGATTACACTTTTTTTACATAACCTCAAAATTTATGTGAAAAATTCAAATAATCAAGTTTTTGATTTTTTATTTTTATCTTATGCAAAAAAAAAAATTTTTTTTCTCGAAATTTGGTGAAAAATTACCTTTTTATGTCCTAAAGACACTGTAATTTTTTTGATTTGAAATATTTATTTTTTCACCTTATTTTGACTTAATATCGAAAAAACACCTTAATTTTCAATCGAAAATTCTCTCGTCAAAATATCAGCTTTTTAAAAAAAGTCGGGGAGTTTTTTGTTCGTTGAAATCTCTTCTTTCTGATAATGTAAAAAAATATATACATTACTATGGTAAATGTTTTCAGAAAATGCAAAGAAAAGAAAAAAACTCGAATCCGAAATTTTTTTTAATCACTATGTAAAATTTTGAGCTATTTAGTAAAATTTACACTTTAATTACTTGAAAAACGTAAGATTCTATGTTACATTGATAAACCAAAAAATTACAAATCCATAAATCATAAAAATTGCAAGAAACATGCGAAAATAATTGTTGTTCTAAATATTAAAGATAGAATTTAAATGTGATTGCTGCAATTTTTTTTAGTCAAAAAGTTGATTTACTAAATTCTAATTACATTTATGTCATAGAAAATCTTATAATACATGAATAGAAATGTAAATCGTACTATTGAATTTAGATACTTTATACTGATTATTATTATTCATAATAATATTTTAAAATGCATTAATCTTCTTATTTATAAATCTTATCTTGAACCCTAATCACTTATCCATTACTTGAAAAACGTAAGATTCTATGTTACATTGATAATCAAAAAAATACAAATAAAAATATACTACTATAATTAACAACCAAATAAGTTAATATTTAATAAGACATCTACAATATTTTGAGAAAGTTGTAGAATATTCTCTACATTATGTGCATAGATGTCTATTTATTGCTATTTTAAGATAACTTATACAGTATGGTTCAAATGAAAGGAATAAATTCATTATAATGGAAGTAGCTGGCTGGTTTTTCGAAAAAATGCTCGGACAGGTCAATTTTGTTTACTTAAAGCGCAATTTTTTAAATAAAATTCAATTTTCCCCCACTTCCCATTTTTGGGCAGTGACGTCATTGACAATTTTTTTAAATAGCAACCCCAATTTTTTTTTCTTGATTTTGATAGATCTTGCAATTTCCTACTCGGAAACATAATATTTGAAATATCTGACATAACAATTTTTTTTGAAAAAAAGTCATTTCAAGATCAGATACATAAATTTTATGTTATTTTGAAACACAATAAGTTAATAACAGATAATTATTTGTAATTAAATGCTTAATCTAACAAAATAATAATAAAAAAAATAATAATAAAAAGAATTTGTGAAATTGTCATTAAATTCGTTTTATTATTATTATTATTATTTTTTTTTTTTTAAATTAAGCACTTAACAAATAATTATCTTTTATTAATTTATTGTGTTTCAAAATAACATAAAATTTATGTATCTGATCTTGAAATGACTTTTTTTCAAAAAAAATTGTTGTCAGATATTTCAAATATTACGTTTCCAAGTAGGAAATTGCAAGATCTATCAAAATCAAGAAAAAAAAATTGGGGTTACTATTTAAAAAAATTGTCAATGACGTCACTGCCCAAAAATGGGAAGTGGGGGAAAATTGAATTTTATTTAAAAAATTGCGCTTTAAGTAAACAAAATTGACCTGTTCGAGCATTTTTTCGAAAAACCAACTACTTCCATTATAATGAATTTATTCCTTTCATTTGAACCATACTGTACTATACCTGAGTTACCTAGTGATAATTTTAGCCCATCAAAAGGTATTTCATAGAGAAGTGGGGAAGGGACTAGGCGGGTCCAGGTCTTTCTACCTGTTATTTTCTAGCAGCTGTACCTAATAAATATTTTCGCTATGTAGAAAAACATTACGCAACAAGCAGCTATATCGTTCTTGATGGGTACCCCGAAATTAAAAAATCAGTTACTGTGACAACAGTACCAGCAGCTACTTCAACTAAAAAAGGAGAACGTAGTCGTAGAAAAACCTTAGACAATATTCCAGAGTTTGATTATCAAAACCATACAAAAATACCATTTCTGCAAGAAATTTTTTTATCTAACGAGAAAAGCAAGGACAAAATAATAAAAACGTTAATGAAAAGATTACAGTCACAAGGATTTTTCCTGTAAACAAGCAGAAGAAGATGCTGATGCAGACATTATTAAAACTTCGATAGAAATTGCCAGAGATACCAATAAAACTCTCATTGTTGTGGGTCAAGATATTGATCTTTTGGTCCTTTTGAATCAATTAACTTCAAATAATCAAGACATTTATTTTCTTAAACCAGGTTCTGGAAATGTAAAAGATATATTTTTCACGTCTAATAGTTTCAAATATGAATCCTTTACAAATATCGTTGCATTTCTGCATTGTTTTTCTGGTTGCGATACAACATCTGGATTTGCCGGAAAAGGAAAGAAGAGTATTGTAAATTCATTATTAGACGATAAAAATGTGTCAAATTTGGCGAATATTTTTCATAAAAAAAGATACAAACAAAAAAGATATAAAAAAAAAAAATGGATTACAATTAATCAAACTTATTTATAAATGTAAAAATGATAATATAACATTGAATCAATTAAGATTTCAAAAATATCAATTGGCAAAAATTAAATCATCTTTCATATTGGCAAATCTCCCACCCACAGAAGGTGCAGCAGAACAACATTGTTACAGAGCATATTTTCAACTTCAAACTTGGCTAGGTAACGAACTGATAGCAACATATTGGGGCTGGAAGCAACATCAACGTGGGATTATGCCCAAATTTACAGAGAAGGAGTTAATTCCGGAAATATTGCTCAAAACTATTTGCTGCAGCTGTGAAACTGGATGTAACAGTTTAAAATGTGGCTTAAAATGCACAAATTTATGCTCAAATTGTAATGGTTTTGAAAAATGCACCAATGTGGAAGAAAAAACCTACGAAGAAGTTAGTGATTTAGATGAAATTGTGGATGAAGGACCAATTCAGACTAAAAATAATATTGGATATGAAGACGGTGATGGTCTTGAAGATTTCGAAGATCTACTAGAATCGGGAAGGTTTGTCGAATCCCACGATGAAGAAATGCCACCGAAGAGACATAAAGTAATTTATAAATAAGAAGATTAATGCATTTTAAAATATTATTATGAATAATAATAATCAGTATAAAGTATCTAAATTCAATAGTACGATTTACATTTCTATTCATATACTATAAGATTTTCTATGACATAAATGTAATTAGAATTTAGTAAATCAACTTTTTGACTAAAAAAAATTGCAGCAATCACATTTTTTAATTGAAATCCCCCCCCCCCCCCCCCCCCCCCTTTAAATTCTATCTTTAATATTTAGAACAACTATTTTCGCATGTTTCTTACAATTTTTATGATTTATGGATTTGTAATTTTTTGGTTTATCAATGTTATATAGAATCTTACGTTTTTCAAGTAATTAAAGTGTAAATTTTACTAAATAGCTCAAAATTGTACATAGTGATTAAAAAAAAAATTTCAGATTCGAGTTTTTTTCTTTTCTTTTCTTTGCATTTTCTGAAAACATTTACCATAGTTAAGTATATATTTTATAACATTATCAGAAAGAAGAGATTTCAACGAACAAAAAACTCCCCGACTTTTTTAAAAAGCTGATATTTTGACGCGAGAATTTTCGATTGAAAATTAGGGTGTTTTTTCGATATTAAATCAAAATAACGTGAAAAAATAAATATTTCAAATCAAAAAAATTACAGTGTCTTTAGGACATAAAAACGTAAGTTTTCACCAAATTTCGAGAAATTTTTTTTTTGCATAAGATAAAAATAAAAAACCAAAAACTTGATTATTTGAATTTTCAGATAAATTTTGAGGTTATGTGAAAAAAGTGTAATTACAAAAGTTGTAGGTCTTTTTATTACCTACAACTTTGTCATTCAATTTTTTTCCATAGGACTTGTAGTTTTGCCGGAAATCGAGATACACCGTTTTTTACCCTTAAAAACTCACTCCCTTCCACTTCCCGACCTCAGATCGCCTGTAAATTATTTTTCCTTTCATTTTTGTTATATTCTCGTTCTTTTTTAACGGGTTTCATCCTACTATTATTTTTTTTGTTTCAAAAATTATCGACCACGGTCTAAGAACATAAAGTAGTAAGGAAAATGTCTGTGCCATATTTCCTTTAGGAAACGTAGGTGACAAAGTCGGCCATTTTGGTTAACGAGTTATGACTCTCTTAACGTTACTAAACCAGTATAAATTCTGCTATGCAAAATAAAACATGTATTCCTAAAGATGTCTGAAATTGAGATCTTTCTCTGAACAGATTTGAAATACTAAGATTATCTGAAATGTTTTATATATCTCTGTTTACTTACACCATTTACTACGGGAGTATAGACATTAATGAATAAACAATCTTCATTTTCATCGACTGTATCTTTGGCTACTGTAAAACATCTATTTCCGTCTTGTTTCGCCTGCAACGTATTCGACCATTTATCATGGGGAACAGGAGCCTAAAACAGATTTATTTTTCTCATATTTGTTACGTTGGAATATTTTCATCCTCAAGTTTGAACATAGTTTCTTTTTTATTTATTAATTATATAAAATTTCGAAAATATTACCTGGAATCTCAAATTTCCTACGGGAGGTTTAGCATAAGGAATACCTTGAAAAGCATTGAACTTTACATTATTTGGGGATGTTCTTGTATATCCTTCAACTTTTCCATTTTTAATTTGTACGACTGGATCTGCAACCTATTAAAATTAGAAACATTATTGCCAGTTTATAATTACCAAAAGCTGAAAGAGAAAAGCTTAACTAAAAGCCATATGGAAAGAGGTAACATATAAGACTTTTTTTAATTTTTTTATTACATGTGACGTATTTATATGGTTTCAAAAATATATTTTATTACAAGAATTTTTGTTGCTTAATATGGACAACCATCACAAAAATTCTGTATATGGGTTGAAAACTTTCTAGCAGACCTGTGAATGTTTGTCTATGTTATTGGCTACCCTACTACAATCTACAAAATCAATGTAGTACTTATATCAACGAAATTTTCTTTATATGCAGTGGCAGTTCTGATGGTAGGGCACAACCTTCAGGCTGGATGACGGCGGAAACTTTTCTTGCCTACTTAAAACACTTTGCGCACTACACAAAACCGTCTGTTGATAATCCATATTGTTACTGGTTGATAATCACAGTTCCGATATTTCCCTTCTTGGAATCAACTTCTGCCGAGAAAATGGAACTGTGCTTGTAGGATTTCCTCCCCACACAACCCACCGATTACAACCATTAAACGTTTCGTTTTTCGGACCTTTTAAGGCGTTTAAGTATACTAAAGGAAGCATGTGACGCATTGATGCCAAAGAGAAATCAGAGCTCACATAAACGGAAGATGTACTGGTGGTCAGAAGAAATCGCTCACCAAAGGATGACATGTAACAAAATAAGGAGGCAAATAACGAGAAGAAGGAAACAGAAAATATCTATCACAGATATAAACGTAAAAGAAAACGATCTAAAAGAGGCCAGGAAATAAACGAAAGGCATAGGAAGAACTCTGTGAAAATGTAGAAGATGATGCATGGGGAAAAGCATACAAAATAGTGATGGAAAAAATAAAAGCCCAAGCAGCTTAACATTCCAGAAGAAATCAGAAAAAAAGCAATACGTGCTCTATTTCTAAAGCAAGGGAATACGACATGGCCTCCAGAACAAGGAAAAGAGGAACATATTAATAAGATAGGAGAAGAAGAAGTAAAAATCGCAGCTCGTAAGCTTGTAAGCTCCTGGCCCAGACGGGATACCCTCAGAAATAGTCAAAATGATAACCGTTGAAATCCCTCTAGAGATAGTGAAGATACTAATGACATCCTCGAAGAAGGCATCTTCCCTGATGCATGGAAGAAAGGCCGGTTAGTACTAATTCAGAAACCTGAAAAGATCGAAGAAGATCCGAGTTCCTATCGCCCACTATGCCTATTGGATACAATGGGAAAACTCCTGGAACACATAGTGGCGATAAGATTAAGGTTGGAGCTGGAAAACCAGGAAAACCTGTCAGAAAGGCAGTTTGGCTTTAGAACGAAACGATCTACTGTTGACGCTATAAAAGAGGTTCAAAAAATAGCAGAATTGGAAATGGGAAAAAACCAAAGAACTAGAGGATTTTGTGTGCTAGTAACTATAGACATCAAAAATGCCTTTAACACGCTTCATGGAAGCATATAATGAAAGAGCTAAGAAGAGGGAAAATATCAAAGTATATTCACAATAATAGCAAGCTACTTTTCAAATCGCTATATTATAGATGAAGACCTTGTGGAATACAAAATAGCCGGGGGAGTACCGCAGGGTTCGGTTTTGGGACCGCTGCTTTGGAACATACTTTATGATGGAATCCTAAAAATCAAAACTCCAGAACAGACAGAGCTAGTAGCATATGCTGATGACTTAGGCGCGGTGGTCGCAAGAAGAACTGAAACAGAACTAATGGAAACTACAAATGACGTACTGGAGATGATCAGTAGGTGGATAAAAGATTATGACTTGCAGCTGGCACCTCAAAAGACATCAATTAGTTTCCAATTAGAAAGGGTCCAGATTGTACCAAAAAAAGTTTTAACTATCTAGGCGTTGCGATGGACCAGAACTTAAACTTTAGACAACACTAAGAACGAGTGACAGCTAAATGTAAACGAACATTAGCGGCGCTAATACGAATAATTCCTAAAGCAAGGAGCGTTAATGAATTAAAAGGCAGAATATTAGTAGCAGCATCTCAGTCAATTATATTATATGCGTCAACCATATGGGATAAGGCTCTAAATAGAAAGTATAATCTAAACTTAATTGACAGCATGCAGCGGATTCTGGCGGTAAGAATGTGCAATGGTTACAAGAGTGTAGCCTAGTAATATCCGGAGTAATACCCATAAAATTGCTAGCGCTAGAGAGTCGAGAAACAACTGGTAAAAATAACATAGAGAAAACGGAAGCCAGATAAAGGACGCTGCAAAGATAGCAAGAACAGACACGAATTCTGATCCCTGATCTAACCATTTGGATAAGGAGGGATATCGGGCAAGTCAACTATCACTTGACACAATTCTCAACTGACCATGGGTGCTTTATGGTATATTACCAGATAAGTACATGTACTGCCAAGAGACAGAACAAACATTTTTTCAATGTCATAAATGGGAGGACAAAAGAAGTCAAGTAGAAAACAGCATCGGATTCCAAATAACAAAAGAAAATATTATTGAAACCATGATGCGAAATGATTGGTAGAATATTAAAGGAGAAAGAGTTAGAGGTAAAACGAAGAGGGCGATCGGAAGACAATACAAAAAAGATAGAAAGGATAAGAAGAAAATACAAAATATAAGATGGCGCATAGCGAAGTAATGCCTGCCACTATGCCTCCAGGATAAGAAAGGGAGTGGTTTTTTAGTCTGTAAAAATTGGACACTACCTTGCAGTACGGGCTGCTTGGTGTGTTTTGAATATCTTTCCACTTCCACAAAATCGAACTCGAATCTTCCATGTGGAAGGCAAGAACGCTGACCTCAGGACCATATATTCTTTTATTTTTGTTACTTTAATACTCGTAATTAAATTGACTTCATATAGTTTTATTTAAATTAACAAATTATTTATAATTATGGACGAAATTAAAATAAAAATGCTATTATTTATCGATTCTACACCAGAATAACTCATTTTAATTTATATTTAATCTCCATAACAAAAAAATATACTGACAATTAGTTTGAGAGAATTGTTACTTATTTAAAATTTTAAAAATAATAGCAGTCTCTTGAAAGAACTGTGATTGGTGGATTTAATTTTTTTGCAGTGTTCTCACTACCTAAAATGGATATGAACTATATATTCGTTCAGTTAAACGCAATAGCATACTTTTTCGTTTTGTAGTCTGTGCGTAGATAAGCTAATGTCCATGTGGGTGTAGAAAAAATATACACTGTACAAGTTGTGAATTTTCCTCATCGTACTCAGCCAATTGAGCACGACAACTACGTCGTGCTCAAACTTCGTCTTCGTGCGATTTTGCCATCATATCCTGTTTTGTTACAAAAACTACTATAGTTTTAGTTATCATTTGTAAGTCATAATGAATTTAATACTTCGCTAGAGATCGCAGAAATAGTAGAAGAGCCTGCAAAAGTATTGTTTCCCGAAAAATAAACACTAAATTTGAATCAATAACTTGTGGTTTGTTATTCGCAATGGTTATCTGATGTCACTTGGTTTTGTTTTTGTATTCGTATTTATTTAAGATTTGAACATACTTATCGAAAATTCGATTTTACTCATACTTATAGTTCAAGTTAATCAAGATTAACATGTAATTACAATTCATTGGATTGGTTAAAGATATCTACAAATCTGTGTTTTTTTTAATTGTAATCGTATAAAAAATGTGTTTGAGCACTAGTTTCGCAACTTGTACTCAAAAGTACTCGTATTATTTATCTTCAGATACTACTTGTATCATAAATAACTACGAAATGATCCATAAAAATGTTTCTAAAGTAGGCATTGAACAACTTCACGCATGTCAGGCTTACAATTGAATCGGTGAGTTCGAAAACCGTACAAGTCCAAAATTTTACATTTTAAAGTAAGAGCCATTTTGTTAAAAAATTGTCTCTTCATCGATTGAGCTTAAAACCCGTACTAGATACCTATCCGTTAACATAGTACAGCTGATTATAGCCGTGAAATTAGACAAACAACCGTACATATTCGTGATTCGTTAAAAGGTTTTTATTGCTTTTTAGGAAGGCTGATTTTGGACATGTACGTTGTTCGAACTCACCGATTCAATTATTCTTCGTTTTTAGTGGAATTTAATTCAGAGGCGTGAGTATCTCTCTTTTTTATCGCCCATGATCTAATTTAGAAACCCTTTATTAAGTATACTATATAGTTCTTCTCTAATATAATATTAGAACAGCAGGAATGGTGGAATGGAGGAATGGTGGAACAGTTTAATAGGACAGAGACAGGCCAGAGAGTTCATAAAAGGACCTTTGCTAAAATTCACCAAGAAACTAGTAGTAGAGATATGCATAACATCGTCAGAAGATACCTTATGCCGGATTAGCCTGAGATTCCTTACATTTGGAAAAGAAATGCCAAGGGCAATTAGTCCCACCGGAGACCTGGTGTATGGAGTCAACTGGAAATGACGAATCTTGACAAAGTTCTCTAGCCACTGAACAAATGATATTTACAATAGATCTGAAAAGGTTGAAGTGGGGAATGGTACGTTGCCCACAGACCTTACCTTTAATTGAATGTAGAAAAATCTTAATTTTTTTCTTAATAATTTCATTGTACTTATAAATAAACATCTAATGATCGTGTATTTTTATTTTTTAGTATCTAATGTAAATTTAATTTGAAATTTGCCAATGAGTTTTCGTCGTTTTAATATCACACTCATACATGGGTCCAAATCAGAATCTACAAAATACAATCATAAATATTACCTACTCTCAAACAAAAACATACCAACCACTATCCTGTGCTCATGAACAATCAGAATGTCTTTAATAAGAATTCCTTTAAACTAAGCGATTTCACTATTTCTCAAGACGTGATTTGATAAAATCATATATCATCCATTGCCACTGCCGCTGCGTCGGTAATTGGGAGATCAAGCAAACATTGTACCCCATCTGGTCTTTTAACCCTGCATAAATCCCACATAAAACCTAACTTCGAATACTGCTCATACCCAGACAGCACACCAAATCCTTTGGATATCTACTGAACATCCCAATATCCACTGAATGTCCAGTCCATGGTGGATACTATTTTATATCCATGAAATGTAATTTATAGACATGCAAATGTCCATAAATAATAGTAATTATATAGCAAATTATTAAAAAATTACGCCATTGTGCTCGCCATTGTGGCTAATAGTACCGTTCAGATATTTAAAATTAATTTTTTAAGGTGTATTCAATATCCCATGGACATCCATTAAATATATCAAAGTCTAAGCGCGGACGCAAACCATCGTGGATATCCACTAGATGTAATTTTTGATTTTGCTTCCTAAGTATAGATGGCGATACCACTTTCGTATCTACTTATGCTCAACCCGCCGTAATTGAGTTCGATCGACATTTTTTTCACAATCAGACTCTATTAGAGACTGGAGTCGAGGTCGAGAATTTCCATTTATTGCTGAAGAGTCCTAATAAGGATGACTTTCTCCTTAGTGCCCTTAGTGGGCAAAATCAAAGGCAGATTGTTGGAAATATTTTTTATCTCTATTTTCTTTCGACGTTATTCAATAATCATTGGTTACTTATGAACCTCTACTAAAGATACCTATAAAATATTTTGCTGAATATCTGAATTCTATATCCTGGGATATAGACGGACATTTGGTTGGATATCCATATTGGATATCCACAAAATATATTCTGTGGATATCTCTGGAATTTCTTGTATTGTCTGGAAGATACTCATTAGATATTTTGCTGAATATCCATAGGATATCTTCTATATTCTGGATATAGACGGACATTTGGATATCCATATTAGATCCACGGAATATTTCTGATATCCTGTGGATATATTGGATATCCACAAAAGATATTCTGTGGATATCTCTGGGATTTGGTATGTTGTCTGGGTACGTTTAGAGTGCCCCAGCAACTATAACATTCCAGCCCTAACGACGGTTTTATCAGTAACAATATCTGGTCTTCTGAACAGCTAGCTTCACGCATCTAGAACCAATAGGTATGATCGCTCCTGCGTACCTAGAGCGACTAGACTTTGGCTATCTCTTCCTCAACAAGTTTTTGATAATTCTCGTAATACCCAATTCATTAATAAGACCTACAAATTATATCTAATTTCACAAAGGATGTACAATGTACATGAATGTAAGTCGCTTTTGTTGGTTTTGGTTTTGAAGATTGAGGAATTGCTTGAACTTGCCTAGACATCTTATAATTATAAGGATAATTGAAAAGGTTATAAAGGTATGCGGATGTATCGGAATATACTAGGTGAGTCGGGAGGAGCGCACCAAACTCTAGGAGTATATTATACACGTGAAAATAATGTAAAAAAACTCATATGTTCTTATCCGATTTTCATTTGTTTTCAAGTCATGGCGTAATTAAAAATGTTCATCTAGCTTCCCACTTCTGAATTTTAACATTATCAAAGTATGCCATATGTTCAAGGATTAAGGGAATTTGATAATTCTGACGATTTGATGAACTGTCAGTGTACAGTGAACAGTAACTGAACGTTTAATTTCGAATTTATGTGATTGTTAGTGTTGCAAAATGCCAGATACTTATTCAAATTTAGAATATGCAAATATAGTGTTTGTTTATGGTTTCTGTAATGGAAATACTACAGCTGCTGCTGAAGAATATCGTCAACGTTTTCCACACCGAAGACATCCTGATAAAAACGTATTTATTAGAGTTTTCAATAAATTGTGCGAGACTAGTAAGCTTCCCAGTGCTTTCATAACATCTGAACGCGCTACTCGACAAGGTTTTGTAGAAGTAGAAAATATTCTGCATCTAGTAGAAGAAGATGCAACTACTAGCTCACGGAGAATTGCCACTCAATTGGGAATTCCACAAAAAAGAGTGATAAACACACTCCACGAGCAAGGCTTATATCCTTATCACGTACAGAGAGTATAGCACCACAGGATTACGCTAACCGTATGGAATTTTGTCGGTGGATAAATAATAATCATCGTGTTGTATCGAGTATACTCTTTACGGATGAAGCTACATTTACCCGTGTTGGCATTAATAATACTCGTAACTATCATGTATGGTCAGACGAAAATCCCCACGCAACAGTCGAAAGCAATTTTCAACATCGGTTTTCTGTAAACTTGTGGTATGGTTGACAGTTATTTAATTGGCCCTTTCATTTTGGAGAATCGTCTCACAGGAGACAACTACCTTAATTTTTTACAAAATGAATTACGAGGCCTGCTAGAGGATGTTCCTGTAAATATTAGAATGCAGATGTACTATCAGCACGATGGAGCTCCTGCACATGTCGCTCGTCAGGTCAAGCAACATTTGGACGAACGTTTTCCAGGGCGTTGGATTGGTCGTGGAGGTCCTATTAATTGGCCTGCAAGATCTCCAGACCTCACACCATTAGATTTTTGTTTATGGGGCTGGATGAAAAATGAAGTCTACAAAACAAAAGTGGACACACGGGATGCACTAATTAGACGAATTGAGAATACTGCAGCCCATATTAAAGAAGAAAGAAATGAATCAATTAGGAGAGCAACAAACGCTCTTCGTAGACGAAGCAGAAAATGTTTAGAAGTCAATGGCGGTATTTTTGAACATTTATTGAAAGAACGCTATGATTAAGAGAATTTTAATGTGTAAATTTGTTTATTTGTTAATATGCTATAACTTGAAAACAAATGAAAATTGGATAAGAACATATGAGTTTTTTACATTATTTTCACGTGTATAATATACTCCTAGAGTTTGGTGCACTCCTCCCGACTCACCCTGTATAAATTTTTTTAATCAAAAATGTTGTTTATGGCTATCCCTCTTATTAAGAAGAGTAGTAGTCTATAATAATTCCCAATTATTTCTTAAATTAGCAATTAAAAAGATGGAAAAAAAATAAGACTAACTACTAATCTAATCTTTAGTTTATAAGTAATCTAAATATGTGTAAGTTTTTTTAAATGTTTTAACTTACCACAAATCCAATGAAGCCTACTAGAATAAAGAGGTAACACACTTGCATTTTTATTTAGGTGTGCCAATCTGTATGCGGACGTGCCTAAATTTTTAATGCTCAGGATAAAAAAATCTTTAAATACCTACACGATATGATATTTCTGCTATAACATTAGATAATATGATAAAATTCAAATTTATACAATTTGTAGATATTATTAAAAATATATTTTGAAGTGCCAATGAGTTAAAAACACTACTCGAGTAATTGCCGTGACGAAAATACCTACGTAATGAATTTTAAATATTATTTTATATGAAAATTTCTTCTAAATTTTTATTCTAATTAATAATATTAAAAATGCATATTAGGGTTCGCAGATGAGTGGACAGTGCCCACTCAAAAATAACTATACTCACTACCCACATAGATCTCTCCAACTCCAATGTACATATTACCTAATTTTCGACTTCCGACTAGGTATATTTGAATTTTAATTTATTGTCAAAAATGTCCTGATTAACGATATACGACCAGCCCATATACGTACATATACGAAATCGGCCATTGAACGTTTTCTAATACGCTTTGCACAAGTACATGTGAAAACTACAGAGAGTTTGCATTAGAGGGAGCAAAAACGAATATTATCAGCATTGGCAGTAACTTGTAATGTTGGCCGGGCCGTATAAACTGGCAACGCGACAAAGTGATCTAGCCGTAAGCTTTGCTAAGACATTGAGTAAGACTCAAATAGCTATAATCAGGGGCTACAATATGGGTTTGTTATTATTGTGCCCACAGCTAATGCAGTGTTTTGCTCATAAAAGCAGTTTCGTCTTGGAACTGGCTGAGTGGAGTTGTTCCGTGTTGGTGGTAAAAAATTTAAATTTAGCTGATATTTTATTTTATTTATTTATTTACGGGCAAGCCCATTTGAGAAATAAATTACAATTTTAAATTACAAATAAAATGTAGTGAAATATATGTGGTGCTGAAATAAAAACGTGGTATAATGCGCTAGTTCAGTGATGATGTAATTATGGTTCCACTGACAATTAAAGTGACAGTAGATTTTTTGAGTGCGTTTTGTTCGTTTTGTTTACCTAAATTATATCGTTTTTTTCACTTTTATAAATATATTCCTAAAGTAAGTAGATAGCATGTATCAAATATACAATCGTTTAGTTACCAATTAAATACCTTTAAACTATTTTTTATGACCTGTAAACAATATTTTGAAATAAAATAAAAACAGTAAAAACGTATATGTCAAATTTATTGATGTTTTTGTTAAAAGTTTGGTTAGAATTAAATGTCAGTGGAACCAAAATGACATCACACTGAACTAGTGCATTCATTACATATAGACTAAAATAGGTAAATAATTAATTTAAAAGATTTAGAAAGACAAAAGACAATAAGGTTGAATAAAATATTTACATTAAACATTAAAAATTAAAGATCAAAGATTAAAGCTCAGTACTAAGTAATTACTTTATAAATTTATGAAAAGGGGTGTTAAATATCTCAAGATCGTTATGAGTGTTGGCTAATCTTAACATTCTTGGAATACAGCTGCTAAAAGTATGGTGTAAACGATAAAAAGGTACATAAAATGTTTGTTGGTGTCGAGTTGAGCGGGTTGGAACATAAAGATTTATTTTTGTTAGAAGTTCAGTACAGCTGCATCTGCCATTAATAATTTTGAAAAGTAATAGAGAGTTATTGCAAGTTCACTTAAAGTCAGTCACTATTAGTGCCGCTCTTATTTTGACATCTGAGCATGCGCAGATCACTAACTTTAATAAAGATTGTGCCTGTCCCTAATAGAGAGATATTGCAAATTTCTATAAAGCCAGCCACTAATAGTGACATCGTAATTAGAGTCAAATAAATTCTATAATAGTACCTAATATTAAAGAGGCATTAGAAATTATAATTTTGGAAGGTTTAAATGACGAGCGCAACCGAAAGCTATAAAGTCGCCACTACCTGCTGCCTTAAACATCCACAATTAAGGACAGGCACAATCCTTAATAAAGTCAGTTTTAGAACATAAACATCTACGCATGCTTAGATGTCAAAATAAGAGCGGCCCTAATAGTGACTGACCCTAAGTGAACTTGCAATAACTCTCTTATTAAGGACAGGCACAATCTTTATTATAGTTAGTGATCTACGCATGCTCAGATGTCAAAATAAGAGCGGCACTAATAGTGACTGACCTTAAGTGAACTTGCAATAACTCTCTAATATCAGGTATCTCTGTTTCGTCCTAATTTCCAAAGAGGGGATGTTTAGAAAATTCTCTATCAAACCATACTCGCAAAGGACAACCAATTTATAGGCTATATATCTAAGAAACTTATGTTGCACATTTTCTATGTTTCTGCTGTGCATTATGTAATGTGGAGACCAGACAGAAGAGCAATAATCTAGGTACGGTCGGACTAGTGAACAATAAAGGACTTTAATTGCAGTTGTATCAGTAAAATCATGTGTTAACCTTTTGATAAACCTAACATTTTCATCGATTTATGGGTAGCCTTAGGTATGTGTTGATTAAAACTTAAAGTGGGATCTAGAATAACTCCAAGATCTCTAATTTGATTAACAGACTCCAAGATATGATCATTTAAGTTATAATCAAAAGTAGTAGTTGGTACATGGGATCGATAAAAGCGCAAGACGTTGCACTTTATGGCATTTAAGGAGCACCAGTTTGACAGATAATCAAGGTCAGACTGAAGCCTGAAACTTTTAAATCATCTGCAAACAATAGTGCTTTGTCATACTGAAAACAATGAATGATGTCATTTATAAATAAGTTGAATAATATGGGACCAAGGCGTGATCCTTGAGAAATACCTGAGGTAACTTGAAATGAGTTAGAATAGTGATGGTTTACTCTAACCACTTGAGCTCTGTTCGTAAGATAGCTACTAATCCATTGCAGTACGACCCCATTTATGCCATATTTATCGAGCTTTTGAAGTAAGAGAGAATGATTGACCCTGTCAAAAGCCTTAGAAAAGTGTACACAGAATCAATCTGGCAACCCTTCGCCAAAGCTTCCGACAGGAAGTCGACGTAGATTTAATTCAGTCGATTTCTCAGCACAAAAGCCATATTAATAATCCGTTATTATGCCAGAGCAGTCTGTTATAGTGTTCTCAAAAACCTTAGGTATAGTATTAAGAATAGATATAGGTAGGTCGGTAATTTTTGACATCTGACTTGCTCCCCGATTTGTATATTGGGGTGACAATAATCTGGAAACTAACCCGTGGCGATAGATTTATTGAAAATATAGAAGAGAGGGCGAAGCTGCAATTTTGGAGTAGGATGGGAGGAATAATGTCAGGACCTGTACATTTCTTTATGTCAAGATTAGATAATTCTTTGAAAGATTAAGTTTTAATTCAGTATCGTTAAAATTTTGATTAGTGTAAACTGATAAAAAATGCTTGGCAAATATATTTGATACTTCACTGCTACAAGAAGCAAAAGAGTCTTCAAGTTTCATATTATAAGGTATAGTGTTATTAGATCTTTTGGTACTTACAAAATTTCAAAAGGCTTTAAAATTACTTTTAACAGAATGTATGTAATTTGAATAGCATGCTCTAGATATAATCCTGCATTGTGATCTTAACTGATTGAATATTTCATAATTTTGGAGAGTCCTGTTTAGCTTGTAAATCTTATGTGCAACCTTTTTATCGTTGACCAAGCTTCTGAGTTGAAAAGAATACCAATGTGGGAATCTATAACAAATTTCTTTAAGGGAACAAATAACTTAATTACCGAGTACAAAGCGTCATAAAGAGTAAGAGTCATTTCTGAAGAAGCCCATACCAATCCATTGCCTCCAAACATTGGCGTATACCTTCAAAATTGACGTGACGAACATCATAATAATACTCTTTTCCAGGAGCATCACTTGAGTTCGTCTTATATTAAATTGAAGTTTCAAGAGGAGGAAAATGAACAACTATGTTGTTTGTCAGTGGATGTTTATTGGTTGATTTTGATTATAATTAGGTATTGTTCATTTGGAAATTTTAAAAGAAATGTATACTTCACAACCCAAATCCTAATCGAGTTCTATCAGTAATCGATACTAAACAATAAACGACGTCTTTCAGATACCCGGACGATCCAATGCAACCTCAATAAATGCAACTAAAGCACTGAACTCCCCATCAGTGGAACGCTATACGATTCTGTCGACCTAATAAAAAATAGTGAGATGTTTACCGGCACTACAACTCATGCGCATTACGGATTTGTTGGAGAAAATCCATCTGTAATCACACATATGCATTATGGTTGCCTATAACAATTATTATCAGGACTCACTTTGTCCGATTTATACGATTCTTTTTTGTTAGTAAGGGGGAACCTTAGGGGTGGTCCCATATAAATTTGGTTAAGATGTGGTAATGGCATCTGCACGTTTTTGAAGTCGGTTTTTTTTAATTTTTAATTTGTCGATCAGTTTCGTCCTGTGATATATAAACGAGTATTTTTAATGTTTTAAATATTTTTTATTTCTTGTTTTTTTGTATCATATATTATATTTGAAACTAAAATACAAAAATTTTGAGTTGTAATACTGTTAAGAATATATTTCTATATTTGTATGGCTTGTACTTGTAAAACATAAAAATGAAAATAAATTTATGAAAATACTTTTTAAAATTATTTTTCAATAATGGATAATAATACCTAACTTAACCCGTATATGTACTGACATATACGTAATACAAATTTGCCAAAAGTGCTAGGCGCGGGCCTGATAATAAATGTATAATAAGAGCAATGTACGTTGGGTTGCATATAATACAATCGTTGATTAATAGAAAATCATTTATTAATAGGGGTAAATAATTAACGATTTTGAGGGCGTTAAAATACATCATAAATGGTCGGTAGACGGAAAAAGGTGATTAATACACTAGGTCACTAAGTCGCTAAATAACTGTTTAAATTCTTTTTATACCTACATCTGTATTTAGACTCATTCCAATTACCCATGAGACCAACGCTGAACCTAATATACTCGTACATTTGTGAAAATCAAAACTCCTAATTAATTAAGCAAAAAATTAGAAATACATTCGTCATTGTTTAATAACGCAGCATCGTCTCAATGCGCA